CGCGCCGGGTCTCCCCCGCCGAGCGGCTGCTCCGCCACCGGACCATGAGCCACTCCAGGCACACGGGCAAGATCAGGAAGAGGCTGGAGGACATCAAGAACCAGTCCCCTAAGCTGGCCAAAGCGGATTTCAGCCACAACGAGAGCATCAGGCTGGCCACGGATGCCTTCCTGGACGGGGGGACGGACTCCTACCTGGAGACCCTGGGCAAGGAAGGCGAGGTGGATTTCCTGTCCTCCGTGGAAGCGCAGTACATCAGGGAGCACGCCAAGGAGTCGTACTACGCGAGCGAGCCCGCGGCCGACGGGGCGGGAAGCCCTACCTCAAGGAGAAGTCCACGGCCACCGTGTACTTCCAGACGGAGAAGAACAGCAACATCAGGGACATCATCCGCCGCTACATCAACAAGACCACGCAGGTATGGAGAGAAAAACCCCGCTCCCGCCGCGCTCCTTCGCCTCCCCGTTTCAGCAAGGGGGGAGAACGGTGTCAGGCCAAAGTGCACCCGGTCCCGCACGGGGACAGCGACATTCAGGGGTCGTTTCCGAGCTGATATGGTGCTTCCTCACCCTCGTAGCAGCTCTTCTTGCGACGATGACTTCAGAAAAGAGCAGAAATCCCTTTTTCTCCCCTGAACGCACGCTCGGAGGCCACTGCTGTGTTATACAACCACTGTTGTTGGTGTGTAAACGGCAGTGAGAAGCAGCAAAGGCATCAGGGAAAGGGTCCCGTGAGGGTCACACTGCTGGCCGAGAGCTGCTGGGTGACAAAACGCTTTTGTCACAGACATTCAGGTGTGGGAGCAACAACTCTCTAGTTTTTACTTCCCCTTCCTTATGGAAAAAAAAAAAAACAATAATTAGACATTTCAGGGCTCTGCTCATCAGCATCGGGGAGTTTCGCCCTTGCATAAATGTGAGGCTCAGCTCACAGCTGAGCAGGGAAGTTCAGGATTCCTGATTGGGCAGTGGTGGCCGTGGAGCCCCCACGGAGTTTTTACAGGGTCAAAGTGGGAGCACATCTGAAGCGGAGGGCGGCTTTCAGGGATTTCTTTCTGCAAGTAAAGGCACCTACGAGAGCAGAGCCTCAGGCCAGGGCGGGGAGAGAGCCCCAGTGACACCAGGGACAAGGTTACATTTCTGGGAAGAGGTTCTGCCTTCTTGCTGGATTTCCTCACAACTTTGCTCTCAAACGTTGTCATCACTCGTAGCACCTGTTGGTTTTATCTCAGTCACACCAAACCGTTTTATTACTCCTTTTTTTTTTCCCAAAGCTCCATTTCAAATCTCAGCTGTCTGGGGAAATGCAAGGGGTGAGAGCAGGAGACCTCTGGAGCAGCCACTCTCTGGCACAAGCTCCGGAGTCCCCCAGACTCTGTGTCTTGGCTTCATCCTCCTGCAAGCGCTGGGGCTGATGGTGCTAAAGGGGGAGCAGAGGGGAGATGCCCCTTTCACAGGCCCCCTCTCACGTGCTCTGCTTGCTCAGCATGTCATGGGAATTACAGGTCAGCTCAAAGCCTCACCAAGATGCAATGACAAAAGAAGTAGCAGGGGAAAAGCAGGATAAGCATCAGCTGATACTTCAATCCGGTCCCATTTTTCATCCTGAGAGAACATCTGTAGGGGAAAAAAATGAAAAGCGTAACATAAACCCACACTTCTCTACCCAGTCTTACATGGCCTTCTTAGCAAACTAATTTACACTGCAAGAGGTTGCTAGAATAGCACTGACAGGCAGGAAACCTCTGACAACTGCTCTTTGAGTAGCGTGTCTCAGTGGCAGCCTTTATTAAACAGCATCTCCCAAGGGGCCAACCTAGACACTGTGGTGTCTAGCGGTGCTGAAGGGCTTGGTCCAGGGCTCTGGTGACTGAAGGGAGGCAGCAGTTGTACATATTATTGCAAAAGGCTTTCACAGTAACTGTGGGTATCTGGTTGACTTTCGAAGCTGTTCACAGCATGAGTGAGATTGTCTGGGTTGCCCACCCTGGTCCATGGAGGACCTTTGTGGCCCTGTCCTCTGCTTACGGCTTCCACGCGCGCCCAAGCGCTGAAATCTCGCCTGCAAGTTCCCGGGTTTTGCTGTGTTTTTTCGTTAAAATAACCTCACTAAAGCATGAATGTTATATAGGAGCTATACGACGAACAGAGTGAAGCAACAAATCTTACTGAATCAGGCACTTAGGGAGAGAAACAGAAATATGCACATACGCATTCTAAGGCTTTTGCTTGCTCAATATATGTATATACACATATATACAAATGAATAAAGACCCAGGACCTTCCAGGGGCAAGCTGGAGCTGTGTGAGCCCCTTTGCTGAGGCCTCGGCTCTCCGCAGGTGCTCGCGATCGTCATGGACGTGTTCACGGACACCGAGATCCTCTGCGACCTCCTGGAGGCGGCCAACAAGCGCATGGTGTTTGTCTACCTGCTGCTGGACCACGGCAACATCAAGCTCTTCTCCGAGATGTGTGACAAGCTGCAGGTCGCTGAGGAGCTCTTCAAGGTACTGACTCCCTTGGGTGTTTAAAGTGTGATAGAACGAGGTTTTTAAAGCTTTTTCTTGAGGATAATGCCCCACATCTAGCCGGTGTCTGGCTGTTAGCTCAGTCCTTCTTCATCTGTGCCAGAAGAAACTGAAGGAAGTTGGGACTTTAGGAACAGTCCCCTGGAGTAGCCTGAGGCTGTCCCGGTGCTGTGCTGCCTGGTGCAGGTGGGCTGCTACAATAAGGAGGTTTCCAAGATGTATGAGTTGACTCCTCGGTGCTGCTCCTGCAGGGCCTTGGCTCCTACATTGGATCCCTATGGATATGAGCAGAAGTGCAGACCATCCATGCGGGATGAGGGGAGCAGAGGTTTTTGCCCTGCTGCCATGTACTGCAGGCAGCATAAAACTATCGGGTCACTTCTTGTGCCAGCTGCTGCTGTCAGTGACAGAGAGGTCCTGGTTTTGGACACGTGTCTCACGTCGGCAGGGGCAGCGTTGGTCTCCAGCTGACACTGCAGCTCCGGCTGTGCAGGTTTCCAGGCAGCTTTATCTCCTGCGTGAGATCAATACTATGAGCAGGAGAGAAGGCTTGACAAGGGTTCTGCTGTCCCCAAACCTTCAAATGTAACCTTAGAAAAATCATGAGGATCTCTTGACAGTATGAAGACGTGAGGAGCTAGAGACTAGGGGAAAAAGGGCCCTCTCCTTCTGGTTTTTAATTAAAAATTAATTTTAAAAAATAATTCTGTTAGTATTTTAATTAATTCTGCATTATTTTTTTCTTTACTAGAATATTTCAGTCCGCAGCGTTACTGGAGAGGTTTACTGTGCCAAATCAGGCAGGAAATTTGCAGGACAAATACAAGAAAAATTTCTTATTTCTGACTGGAGATACGTGCTCTCTGGCTCTTACAGGTGAGACCAACCATTGCGGCTCATGTCTGTGGGACCTTTTATTGTTTGCTTATTTAATCTTTTTTAAATGTATTACTTCACAAAGAAAGTGCCAAGGAAAGCTATTGTACAGCTGAGTTTGGGCGGGGGGGAGGTTAATAAAAAACCTCCCATTCTTTATGTAATATTCAACAATCCATTTAACATGATTTCTAACTTGCTTTAAAGCTTATGTGAGATCCTTACAGAACATGGCATTTGATTTAAATGTTCAAGACTGATGCAAACGACTTTGCCAGTGCAGTTTGGCACCGATGTGCATGTTAATATTAGGCTTTCCTCACCGTTTGGGTCATGAAAGGCTCTCACAAGCTGAGACACATTCCCATCTCCCTCAGGATCCCTTAATGCAGCATATGTCACTCAGCTTATCTAAAGGTTTGTTCTTCATATGACAAGTTTAGTGACTAAAGGGAAAACAGATACTTTGGAGACATCCTGTTTTTTTTTCTTGTGTTTCTTTCACAGACAGAAAGTTTCTATGTAATCATTGTAACTTTTTCTTTGCGAGCTGGATCTGTAGTATCAGATACACTCTCCATTTCTGTGCTGCTCTGGTTCTTCCAGATACAAAATGTAGAAACTCAACAGTTGGGATTTTAATTATGATTCAAAAGTTGTCAGACTTGAGGCTCTGAGCCTGGATCAAATAAATAAAATTCCTGAGTCTCTAGGCTACCCAGATGAGCTTAACAAATGCCTGAGCTGTGTCCTTCAGAAGCTCAAACTCAGACCCCAAATGAACCATCAGACACAAACGAGGGAACACACAGGGCAGGTTCTACTGGCCACTCTGTTTTGTGTTGTTCTCTCAGCTTTCAGTTTTTTTCTAAACCTCCGCCAAAATGCAACAGCAGATTTATATACCAGTGGAAGAAGGGAAGGACAGGATGTGTGGAAGGAGAGGGACAGAACAAGACGTTCTCTCTACCAAGAGGCTTCCTTTTGCCATCTCTTTTCACTCCTGTAAAAACAACACAACCCTCAAAGCCCTGTGCAGTCACTCCTGTCATTCTCCAGTGCTATTGCAGGATCTCCTAACCCCAGGGGACTTACCCAACAACATAAGCTCCTATTCAGCAAGCAGGCAGAGGGGACATTGAGAAAAAGATCTCTGCACCATTTAAGCTCAGCAAGCTCGGCACTGGTCTGGGGGTTCCTCTGGGTTAGAGCTGCCTCTTGCCACGTGGCTTTTTATGGGCTTGCTGGCTCTCACTTTATTCAGTTGCAAGTTTTCTTTTACACCTGAAATCTTCCTGACCGGCTTCTGCAGGTAGAAACAAGAGTGATTTTAACTTGGAGGAAAAGGGACCCCTCTGCACTGTAATTATTAGCAATGGTATTCGAATAGCTCTCGGCATGACTACAAAGGCATATTCCACCTTAGCTGGCTCTATAATGTTGACGAGGGGAGCGGGCTGGGGAAATCAAGCAGCCTTTCCATCCATCCATGATTCACTGGTTGCAGCTGAAGCATGTGGGGACAAAATCCATTTGTCTTATGGACAGCAGAGAGGGCTGACACTGGCTGTGAGTAACTGTTAGGGGCAAAGGACCCTCCAGCAGATCCACGGCATCTCCCGCTGGGAGCTGTTTCTAAAAACCTGCTATAGAGCCATTGCTCGGGTGAGTGTGAGCGAGTGCTTGGTTGTGCCCCACGCGGCCCACCAGGGCTGAGGCGGCGCCGGGTGAACCGGGGCCAACCCGTTTCCAGCAGCCCACGGGGAAACTCCCAGGAACTCGGGGTACGGATCAGCTCTGCCCTTGGCCTGTGCGAGGGCTTGGGCAGGGCGGCTCGGCCACGAATCCATCCCTGCAGAGACGCGGGGTATCCAACCGCCAGCGCGGGGCCAAGGGGGTTGTTCATTCCCTGGTTGGTTTGTTGTAGGATTTTCTTGGTGGTGGTTTTTGATTTCTCCATGGACTCTGTTCTACATGGCTCCCCTCCCCGCTCCCGAAGAGGTGATTCAGCAGTGCAAAAACCTCTGTCCAAACCAATCCCTCGACAAAAGGGCCCTGCACAGGCAGATCCCCCTCGTGCCTCTGTTCCGGGCGCCCGTCAGGCCCGCCGGTGCCCACAGCCTGGTCAAAGCCACCAGGAAGGAGCTCTGCAGAGCGCCCCGCCAGCCAGGGCGGCTCTCAGCAACGCTGGGGCAACGGCAGCCGTGTTCACAGTGCAAAACCAGGCCGGGGGGTTGCTGTGAGGGGTGGGAAATTACAGAGAGGGGGAGCTTTCTGTAGGCCTCTCGTCAGCAACTCAGGGAAAACAGGCACAGGATTTTTGCCGTTTTTCTAGTGTACTGGGTGGGATTTACTTCCAAACAGGTATGGCAGCCTGCAGAGAAGGGGCAGCCTATGTGTTTGCATGGGAAGCTCTCAGTTTCGGCATGGCACGTGGGGATAAGCACCTAACACAGGGGTCCGAGCTCCCTTGCAGGCAATGGGCCCCACAGCGCTAGGGGGCTCTGGGTGCTGCTTTTCACCCTCCCTCCAGGAGGTTATTCGACGCTCCAAGGTTCCTTGACAGCCATAGAGGCAGCTGCAATAGCAAAGCGTGATCCGGGTCCGAGAGCGCTGACAGGAGCTGGCCCAAATCGCAGCTGCGACACCATCCCCATCCTCGCACGGACACGGAGCTCCGGCTCCTCCCGCGGGACCCTCGCTGACACTAACCCTCTGCCCTCTCTCCCTGCAGCTTCACGTGGCTCTGCGGCCAGGTCCACCGCAACCTCCTCTCCAAGTTCACGGGCCAGGTGGTGGAGCTCTTCGACGAGGAGTTTCGCCACCTCTACGCGCTCTCCAAGCCCGTGAGGGGCCCCAAGTCGCCACCGCGCTCCAGGCCCTTCCTGCTCGGCACGGCCTGGGCCGCGCGGCGCAGCCCCTCGGACAGCAGCCCGGGCAGCGCCAACACCCTCTCGGATCCCTTCAGCAGCCTCTCGGCTACTACCAGCCCCACTACGACTCGGCCCCCGCTCTGTACAACAACATGAACATCTACAGACCCATCCGGCTCCGGCAGGAGGAGCCCAACAGGACGGGGCTGAACTCGCCCTGGAGGTGCCTTCACAAAGCCAACCTGTTTGTGTAACATCCGCCCGGCTCCGCAGCGCGAGCGAGCGCCGCGAGGACCTGTGTGGCAATTGCTTGGGCACGGAGGAATATAGAAATCCTGTACGATGTCAAAGGAGGATGATTTCAAGGCTCTTGTTTTGTTCCGGTCCTTAGGGAGGCTTCTTCCACTAATTAAAAAGCTCAGTTAAACCTTGGGTGTAGCGTGACCCCGGTTAAGAACGCACATACACAAGGCTGCTGACAATGTAAAGCTGCTGCCACCCAGCCCCTGCTCTAGGAAGTGTGTTTGTAACTCAGTGACACGGGTGGTCAACTCTTTCATGCAGCCAGGCACCTGAAAGAGGGTTAAGTCTCAGTTTATTATTGCAGATTTTTCACAGTTGTGCAAGGCGCCGGTGCAGCAGACTCAAGTGTCTGATCTCCTCGCCGAAGAGCCGCCATGGTGGCAGCACCAACGTGTTGTCGTCACCATCACACGCTCCCCCGGCCTGTGAGGCACCAAAAGGACCATGACCAAGAGCCCGGGTGACGCAGGGCACCGGCCAGTGACTGCCAACAGGGTCACGCTCAGCAGTGACCCAGGCACCCAACCTGGGCCACTCTTCCCTACTCCAAAACCTCCCACGGAGTCAGCCTGGAAAGCGAAGCCTCATGGAGAAGCGAAGCGCTGCTGACAACCCTTGCTGGGACTGAGATCCACCTGAGGGCTTTCTGCATCTTAGAAACGCTGCTCGTGGGCACTGGACATCACCTTAGAGACACCGATGCTCTACTCTAGAGGTCCTCCAGGTTCTGATGTTTTTCTTTTTAAGAGAAACTGGGTAGCTGTAGTTCCCATTGAATAAATGGGAATTCCGGAGGACCGGCAACTTGAATTGGAGCACCTGCAAAGCAGAAAAACTCACTGACAACCTGGAAAATGACACGAACTTTGGTGGGAGCCATGAAATATTTACAAGAAAATTAATGAGCAGAAATAAAGGATTTCTATACCAATCAGAAAGTTATTAGATGCTTAATTTATCAGTAACTCCTTATACCAGCATTGTATCAAGATTTCATCCAAATCCAAGTGGAAACAGAAACCTAAGCACAAGCTGCAGGGAGGGCTTTTTTTCCACTTGTGGAATCTCATTTTGGAGTCCAGAATGAACAATAAGCTGTTGCATATAATTGTAAATCTCTGTACATAGCATCGTTTTTAGGATTCCTGGGGTAAAAGATTTGACTTTTTCATTCCTATGACAATCCTATTTTGTTTCCCAAACATGGCAACCACTCCTGTAGAAAAAGAAAAGTGACTCTCATTAAATGCCCCTTGAGAATCATTTTTTCCTTCGTCTTCTCTTCCCTCGCACACCGTAGCATCTCCTCTTCCCAAAGCTAAGTGACTCAACTTGGCAGGAAACACATTTTGCTGCTTCTGAAATCAACAGGAACAGAGTAAAACATCCACATGCCTCCAGCCCGGGTAAGATGTTTCTTCTCGATTTGGTTCAGCTCCCCAGTGCTGTTGCTGGGGCGGCCAACTGGGATGGTGAGGGAGGGGAGAGGTTTGCAGACACCTCCAAAACCTCCATTTCCTCTGCTCGGGACCCACCGAACGCCCACGGGAGCTCCTGGACCGTTGCCCACAGCAGCAGCTGTGCAGGACGCAGCTGAGCGGGAGCACGGAGGGGACCGGCTCGTCACCGCCGAGGAGCGCAGTGAGTTAAAAACAGCTCGTTTCAACCCTGGAGCAAGGGTACAGCTTGTGCTAGTTTAGACGACAGCTGAACTGGAACGCCAAATGAATGGAATTTCAGTTTTGATGCAAAACAAGCAGAGTTTACAATTTCAGCAGGGAACTGTGCCAAAAAATCCTGACAAGCTCCCACAGGCTCCATCGCTAAGCGGTCACGGAGCCGTGCGGGTCCAGGCAGCTGCAGAAACTACCTGTGAAAAGGTGAGGTGAAAAGGTGGGGTGAAGAGAGCGAGACGGTCAAATGCAGAGGAACCCAAGCAGCTCAGATGAGACACACACAAGCAAACGGCATGAGCGACTACTTGCTAGTCCTGATGCAACCAGCCCGGCCTATTTGGGACAGTAACTGTGCAACACACTGAGAACGAGCTCCACGTGGTTTTCTTGGAGGATTAACAGCAACGTCTTAGCTGACTGTTCTGCTTGAGAGAATCCTGCCCGTTCCGAGGAGCTGCTGCTGGCCTTGCTCCCCGTGACACACTCAGGCGCGGACGGAGTCTGTGCTGCCAGCCCAAGGGGCAGCCGCAAGCTAAAGCATCTGCCCAGGCATGGAAGGAAGAGGGTTCTGGACATCCCAGGCAGCGGGTGGCAGCGTTCGGTGCTTCCTCTGCTGCTCCAACAGCTCACTGCAAATCCTGCCTCCTTTTGGGGAGCCAAATCATGAGGAAGATACCAGCCAATACAGAGGATGACTTGTGCCCAGGAGGGCACACGTGTGAGCAGGGCGAGCGCTCCGGCAGGCGCTCAGTGCACCAGCGCTCGCCCGGGTGAGCTCGCCGGGGCGCCCTGCGTAACAGGCTGCCCAGGATGTGGTTTAATGGCACTGAGTCACGGCGCCATCAAAGGGAGCTCGACACAGCCCAGGGCAACATCCCGCTCTTCTGGAGAGGTTGTGCTGGCAGCTTAGCATGAAGCTTGTCTGTACCTGGTGCTGCCCCAAGACTTCCTAACCAGCATCTCCAGGCTTTGGGGTCTGTGGAGAAGCAGCAGCTACGAAGTGCTGCGTACGCTGAATTACCTTGCCACTGCCAGTTATTTCTCTCTGCACCCTTTGGTACTGCAAGCAAAACACCAAGGAAAACATGAAATCACAGCAAATTATGTCTAAAGGAGGAGGAAGAAATTGTTAGGACCTGAAGACTGTAGAGACAGAGATTTATGTGTGTGTGTGTGTATTTGTGTGTATATATATATATACATATAAATAAAAATATACACTATATATATTTTCTGAAAAGATAAAAACACACAGAATAAGAATACTTAAAAAATACAATATGAACTTTATTGCATATATCACTCCATCATCACCTGAAGCTAAGAGAATAAATAAAATAAAACCTTTAAATTACTGAAGATGGGCTACATGAATCTGAATAAAATTGTGTGTCAGAGTGACATAAATCATCTTGGAGATTTCTGAACCATTTTGCTTCAAATTCTGTAGCAGACGCGGCAACCAGTGACGACAGCGCTGAGGAGTCCATGCACCTGACCTCTCCCTGAAACTCCTCTTTTATGTTTTCTGGTAGAAGATCCGCACCCATAACCTGCCAACAGGGTATGGAAGGAGATGGGAAATGAGAAAATAACTTGAAGGGAAAACAGGCAGTATTACATTAGTAAAAGGTCTGTACATGAAAAGTCTCTTCACATGAAAAGCTAGGGGAAGCAGCGAGGGGAAGTTCCCGTGTCCTGATTCAGTTGTTCGTGTGCTGCCTCCTGCGATAAATACTGCAAACTGGGAGCCTGAGGCTCCCACAGCCCCTGGCAGCCCCTGGCTCTGCCCCAGGGTGGGGATCCTGCTCCCCCAGCAGAGGCAGAAGCCCCAGCACCAGCTCCCCTCCAGTACCACCCGGTCAGACCAGGGCAAGGAGTTTCTTTTCCCAATCTTTTCAAAATCAGAGATCCTCTGCGTGCTACTGCCCTCTCATGGATGAAATCCCAAAGACTGCCTGTCAATTTGGCAGTGACTTGGCTTTTAGTGACGTAAAGCCCTAATTGTGACAGGAAAGTGAGAATCTCACTGACTCCCTTCTGCCCCTTTGAGTGTCAGAAATTCCATAAATGGCCCCACAAATGTTTAATTTTTATGAATAAAGCTATGCAATATTACTCTGCTCTTCTGTAGTTCTGTAAAACTAGAACCCATGCCCTGGACAGAATGAATTAAATATACACATATATATATATATGAGAATGTCCCTGTTTTGGGGGGATCTGCTGAAAGAAGGGAGTGTTTAGTGATCCTCAGCCCTCACTGAGGCCTCCTTCCCATTCCAGAGCGAAGGAGCTGGGATGGGAGCTGCCTCGGGCGCCTCGGCAGGACGCGGCCCCGTGACGAGACCTGCCCTTACCTGGGTCATGGCCTGCATGGAGCTCGCTGTGAAACCCAAGTGTTTCACTCTGTCCTCAATCTCTTTCTGACTCCTGGTGTTTTTCTCCAGAACAAAGGACGCCTGTTGCAACTGGGCGAGCTGAAGTAAAAGCCTGGAATGAGACAGACAGTTAGAAAAGGCACCGCTGGCAGCAGGGCAAGGCAGCAACCCCCCAAAGGACTAAAACGTAACACTTGAAAACAGTGTTTCCCCCTGACTGCCAAAACTGCAGGCAAACCAATACATGTGTATGAATCCACCAGGGTTGTGCTACACGACTGCTGTGATAAAAGTACAACCACCGTTACCACGTTTATTGAAGTTAAATGAAGCAGATGTTAAAATACAGATGTGTATTTGTATAACAGAAGACTCAAGTCTTCAACACAAGTCTTAATTTGAGCGTTATGTCCATCAAAAATCACAAGTCTGAGCCAACAAGCCATTTGTGAACTTTTGATTTGGAAATAAGCAATAAAAATGGAAAGGATTTTTCCTGCACACGTTTGCTTCAAAATTTGCAGCCATTCAATATAAAAAGAATGAAATCTCAAAATAAAGCATTTCTCTTTTTTATTTTGTTGGCAAAACTGAAAGATTAAATTACTCACAGTGTTTTAACACAGAATCCTATTAACTACATAAATAGTAAATAAAAATAAATAAATATTAAATAAAAATATTTTTCAGATGAAATTTACCCTGTTCATTAGTTTATGCAACACTTACATCTCACTTAAACTCAGTAAACTTGAGTATATTAGAAAACCTATTTAATGCATAAGCCCTGGGCAGGGGTTTCACTGTCCTGTATCAGTGTAAAATCCACTGAACTTCTCAACAGTTCAGGGATCCTCTCAGTCACAGTACAGTCAGAAGTAATTTTAGATGGTTTTAAATTTCTTAAAATTCACGTTCATAGGACAGTTTCAAGGTGCTCAGTGTAAATATTTGCAGAAGTTCATAAAATGCCTTTAACATTTGCAATGATTAACACATTATCTAGAAGCAAGATTATTTTACCAAAATAAATAAACAAATGAAAATAAAAAATAAAATATGGTTCCTAATTATCTCTTTGAAAGATTATGTTTGAGCTCATTTGATTTGTGCAAGAATATTAGCAAGCAACAGAAGAAAAAGTAAGAGCATTTTAATGCACTCGTGTCAGTCTGCTGTCACAGAGCTCACTTTTCCAACTCATCCACATGCAAACTAGGAGGAATTATTAAAATAACCCTTTTTCTCTCAAATATTCTCTCCTACAAGGCAGACTGGCCAGTCTTCCCTTTTGGAGAACTCAGTTGCTGTGTTTTTAATATCAGAGCAGAAAGTAGTCATGCTCTAATAGGGGTATTTGCTGGAGAACAAATACTTTCATATATAATGATTTGAAAGATTCATATCTTAAAATCATTTAAAAAACACTTTATTAACTCCATGTGACACTGGAGTCTACCCTTGCCACTGAAGTGTAAGTTGTTCACAACTACCACGTTGGTGGCCTTTATTCCTTAGGTCTCTAGCAATAGGGGGGTTCTGTTTGTGCTGCTGATAAAGAAACAAATACTTAAACTGAAAATGTAAAATCGCAGTATTAAGGCTGGAAATAAAATGCTTAAAATTGTTTTTTGGGTTGAGAAAAAACACCCACACCATCTTAAGAAAATATTTAGTTACCTTGCTCTAATAAACGAGGCACAGGCCTTTACCCCAGCTTTCTTCAAAGTGTCCTGCTCCCAGGGCTCGGATGTTTTTCGTTTCCCTTGGTCCCTTCTTTCAGCTTCTTCGGAAGTGCAGAATTCCTTTATTATTTGCCTGTTGCTACAAGTTACTGGATTCTGATTGTTAGTTTCTACAGCAAGGCTGGGCCAAAACCATTCCTTCTGGCTCTCTGATCTGAGAGACTGCAAACTACCCCCTCCTCCAGTCGCTGCTTTGAATTTACTGTCACTTATTCCAACCTCTTCGGAGTGACTTAGTTTCGTTTCTGGAGTGAATGATGGAGGCAGGTTCTGCAAAAGGCTCGTGTAGGCTTCAGCAAGAGACTTCCAGTACCAGGGGTTGAAGGGGTGCAAGCAGATCAGTTGCTGCAGACACGTAATCTCTTTTCCTACATTTTCCACGCCCTGATAAATGGCAAATTGCAGGTTGAGAACAGTTGTTAAGTGATCTGTATTAGTAGCACCACTTCTCTACAAACAAAAGAAAATAAATTAGAACCAGCCGTAGGACCACATCATTGCCTACAAAAATGCCTCTTTGAATAAGGACACACAAGTATCTCTAAAGGTAATTTTTTAATCACACAGGACTGTGTCAACTCTGCTAAATATTTTAAATAACACAACATGGCACAGGTCATGCATGATCAAGTTGACAGCACTCTCCTAGCTGCCCTGTCCAAGGCCGAAAGGCAAAAAGGTCCCTGAATATTATCATTTGCATGTAGAGCTTTGTACAGCTGCCTTTCTTTGCAGCATGAACACCTTCTATATACAATAAACAGCAAAATCTCAGCAGATTGCCAAGCATCTGGACGTTTTGCTTTATGGGGGAAAACTCTGCTTGTGGTTAGATACTCTTCTTGGTGGCAGGTTGGCAGGGTATGCTCGGAAATAAAAGGAAATTCTGACCTGTCACTTTTATAGTGGAAAGATTTAAGCACCCGTTTATCCCCTTTCTTATAATTCCAATTACATTACATTAATTCTGCCTAGCAGAGCATGATATTTAATTCCTTCCAGGACTGCCAGCCTCCTTGCACAGGCAGCTCATTGTGGTACAGGGTGTTCTGATTTCTAAAGAGTGATTATATCTGCAGTGACAGTTACCCTCTGTTTACCAAACACTCCGAGCACTGAACATCCTGCAGGATTTTCCACGCAAAGCCTCTTTTTCCAGAAAATGCTGCACATAAAAAAATTACTAGCAATATTTCTAGGTTAGAAGTATAAAGGAAAGCTTCGTTACCAGTTTTTCTGCAATATCCAGAGCCTCCTTGTGCCTTCCCAGGCGAGCCAGACACCGGGCCTGGCCCTCTTGGACATCTCTTCTCATTGCAACGTTACTGTGGGGCAGGAGCAGCAGGCAGCTCGAGTACTCACACAAGGCTCTCTAGGAGGGTGGTGACAAAACGAAAAGCAAAACAAGCAAAAGACATATTTATTTACTTAAAGGCAAGCCTGACAGTATGTTTTGTTCAGAGCTATAAGCTAAAAGACTTACAAGGACAATTCCAGAGCTGAAGCCCCCGTTTCCTTCCTCCAGACTGAGCTACCCCCAGCTGGCAGCAACGAGGCCAGGATGACACCAAAGGGACCACCCACGTCTGGGCGGGGAAGAGCAACCTCGGGCCCAGCTCATGTTTAAGCCCAGACACTTTTCCCCACCAGGCTGGATCCAGAAGGGGCTCCAGGAGTTCACCTGCAGATCCTGAGCCAAGGCACCTCTCCCCTGGCTGGCAATCAGAGTGCTCATCCCAAATCTGGGGCACCTGGTTTCCAATATTCTCAGGGAGAAGGTCTGAAACTCTGTGTCCCTCACATGAATAACCTGCAAGGCAGAGGGATGGTGACTCTCCATCACTCCTGTAAGGTGGTTCTAATTTGCATGAAATATTTAAATATTAATTGGGCCAAGGAAAAAGACAAGAATGAGCAATACTCCATGGCTCAACGCTCAGGGCACTCGGCAGGGCTCCAATTAACATTTGAATACATTATATTAAGTATTTAGTGAAGGTAAGAATGGAGTCTTGGTTCTTCTCCCTCTGTGTGAGTGCTCAGAGAAGACAACTAAAGAGCAGGGCTCCTTCTCTCATCTCTCCAAATGAATGTTTAATTATTTCTTGCAAACTTGAATGGTTCTAAGAGGCAACTTACAGGCAATACACCCTAGGCACCTCCCAGCATAATGGCTGGAACCTATTTTTTCTCTGGCAAACACAAAGTTCACATTCCTTCTCGAGCAAAAGCAAGAGATTTCCTTTGCCCAGTGAGTGCAGTAGCCCTGGGGCAAAGGTATGTGAGGAAGTTTGCAGGACATTCCCGTTTGCCTTGTTACAAGCCAGGGATCTAACCCTGGCAGTGAACTGGCAAAAAGACCCCCGGGTAGATCGTGCATCACCAGTACAAGGGACCTCAGCGGGGACATGGGAAACAGATTTGTCACGCATAGCCACGGTGGCAGCAAGACTGAAATAACAGCAAGAAACAGGAGCCAGTGCAAACCGAGGTGAAAACAAACCCACAAGTCCAGAAGCTGACCTGAGGGACATGACATTAGGGAGCCTGCAATGCAAAGCATTATCTGGAACCAGAAGCTCTCAGAGTTGAAATGAGCAGGAGAGGCCGATTTGCAGCTTGTGTGAACTGGACCCTGGAATTAGGACTGCAGAGGCTGCAGAGCTCAGAGAGCAGTGAGGACAGGGCTAGGAGCACAGCAGGCAGGAGCAGCAAAGGGGAACACGGCCGGCCCCAAAGGCACAAGGTATCACCCAGGGCACGCTGAGGCAACAGGGAAACGGGACAAGCGACGGCGGGGCCCTCAAACCACCCGTCAGTCTCTGTGGAT